TGGAAGAAAAATTGACAAAAACCTAGAAAACTCTTGAAAAAACCGAAAAAAAAGTGAAAACGAGCGAAAAATTTTTGAAAGTTTGAATTCGCGCGCTTTTACTCACCGGGCGGCCTAGAAAAAACCTCGTCCCTAATGGCTTTCAGCGTATTTTTCGACGCGTTTTTCTCGCCGAAGGAATTTTTTATTTTTATGTCAATCTACATGCATTTCTGCATATTTTGATGCAATAAAAAATTTCACCGTACACCACCTTTAAATGTTTTATGGTCCAAAAAAAAGTACCTGATGAACAACCACAGTTGAAGAGGACAATAATTTTGATGACCACCATTTCTTGTGGGCTCAACTTCAGATTTCTGAGTGGCGTGGCAACTTCATCGATACAACAGTCCGTCATTTGTTTGTACAGCTTTTCCTGACGCCATCGACGATCGGCTGAGACGGAAATCTGGAAATTTGATGTTCTACATTTTGAAAAATAAAACTCAAGAGGTTCAGAAAATATTTGAAATTTTCAGGAAAAATGGCAAATCAAAAATTCGACGGTTCCAAAAATTGAACTTTCAAAAATCTGAGAAACTCTGAAATTTCAAGAATTCAGTTTTTGGAGAAACTCGAAAATTACAGGAATGCAAAATTTTAAAGGTTTCAAGTACTTCAGAACAAACCTCTTATCGAAGGCCACTCCAAAATTGTTAGCGTAGAGTTTAATTATCTCGATTCCTGGGAAAGATATCAAAAAAGGGGCTGGTAATAAAATATAGCTGATACTATATAAGCATTTTATCAGTTGACAAATATTTGATATCTTTCCCAGGCACCGAGATAATTGAGCTCAAAGTTGACAGTTTGTGTGTGCTTCTATTAGATGGAGTACAGTAGTCAATTTTAAATTTCTACAAAAGTAGGTCAAACGTTTTCGATTTTCCTAAAAATTCCAGAGTATACTAAGCGAAACTAGAGCTTCAATTTTGTAGTAAACAACTTTTTCAAAAAAAAATCTATTTTGGCTAGATATGTCACGTGGAATCATAAATTACAGGCGCTAAACCGGAATAAACCGGAAATCGCTCATTCCACGTGGCATGTCTAGCCAAAATGAATTTTTCTGAAGAAGTTGTCAACTACAAAATTGAAGCCCCTGTTTTGTTTAGTACGCTCTACAGTTTTCAGAAAATTAGAAAATGTTTGACCTATTTAGGACTTCAAAATTTCTTACCGTGTTTCATCTAATAAAAGCACTCGCAACCTGGCAACTTTGGGCTCCATTATCTCGATTCCTGTGAAAGATATCGAAAATTTGTCAACTGATAAAATATTGGAGATTTTCTGATAAATATAATATCAGTTGACTAATTTTTGATATCTTTCAAATGAGCTGAGACAACTAAGCTCAAAGTTGAAAAGTGTTTTTTTTGAAAAATTCCTGAAAAAAAATCCAAATCCTCACCCGACTTCCTTCCTCCAATTTCTCCACATTTCTCGGCATACAAGTGCCATTCGTAATCAGCCAAACATCGTCGATATTCGCCAATGCCGTATAATATCCATGTTCCAAAATCAAACAATGCACAGCGAAGCGTTTCAAAATCACATTTCTATCGGAGACTGGAAGAGCCGCGAAAACTGGAAGAGTCCTCGTCCATTCCAACATCATCAATAGTTCGGTTTGTGTGGCGACGGAAATATCCGTTCCCAGCATCACCATCATTTTATGATCACTACCGTTTGGCGACGTTCCACCTGGAATGTATCGGGATGTCGATGGTCCAGCAACATCGGCCGCCTGGAATTTGATAGAAATTTTTTAAAGAAAATATTGGTCTGGTCTAGTCTGTTAGTTTAGAACAAAAATCAAAAAAAATTGTCATCCTCAATTCACTAATAGAACGCTACTTGGACTTCAAGCCCAGATATCTTGATTCCTGTAACAGATATCAAACATTTCTGATTCATATCTAGCCAAAATTGATTTTTCTGAATAAGTTGTCAACTACAAAATTAAAGCTCTAGTTTTGTTTATTATACTCTGAAATTTTCAGAAAAGTCGAAATTGTTTGACCAACTATTGTAGAACTTCAAAATTGAATATCGAATTTCATCTAATAGAAGGCTAGCCATACCGTCTACTTTAAGTTTAGTTATCTCGATTCCCGTGTAAGATATCAAAAATTTGTCAACTGATAAAATGTTTGTCATGATATCACCAACATTTTATCAACTGACAGTTTTTTATATTTTTAACAGGAACTGAGATAATTGAGCTCAAAGTTGACGGTTTGAAGAACTTTTGAAATTCGGGAGTTTTCGGAATTCTCGAATTTCTAGATTTTCAGATTTCCAATTCCTGTCCCAAATTCCAAAAATGAAGCTCACACTCATGCACCCTTGTTTCGTTAGCTTCGCCAAATCAATAGCCGTCTGTCGTGACGTCACCACTTCCAGTTTCTTTTTCCTGTAAAACTTTCAACAAAAATTAGTTTTTCTAAAAATCTAACACCTACCGTAACCTCTCATCAATAATTGTCAAATTGTCCAATAGTGTCAAATACTGACTCTTGTCCTCTATATGGGCTCGTGGAGGTGTCGGTGTGGAATGCGAGCAACTGGGTCGCGATCGAATCCGTCGGCATCCGATAAGGTCTCGTCGGGGTTGGAGAGCTAAAAAATAGCTTCAAAACAAGCATAAATATGACCCTAGTTTGGTTTTGGGCCTTTTCAAAAAAGCTCTTACCGTATTCCTTCTAATAGCAGACCACACAAAAATCGAAAATGTTGAACCATCTTTTTAGGACTTCAAAATTGACTACCGTATTTCATCCAATAGTAGCTCACTCAATCGTCAATTTTAAGCTCAATTATCCCAGTTTCTGTAGTAGGTATCAAAATATGTCAACTGATAAAATGTTTGTCATAATATCAGAAAAATTTTGTCAGTTGACAAAATATTGATATCTTCCACAGGAATCGAGATAATTGAGTTTGAAAGTGACGAGTTGGTTGAGCTTCTATTAGAGGAAATACAGTACATTGTTATGATAATGTATTATAATTATGAGCCAAATTCAAATCGCTCCTCACCTTCCTTGCTCATTCCACTCTCCAAACATTTTCTGTATCGACACGCACGGCACGCCTTCCGAGCCATCGTCGTCGTGTCGCATGCCTTCTCTCGTTTACATTCTGTATCCTGTCGTTGGACGACTGCTCTAGAAGAAATTTTTCTAGATTTCTGTAAAAAATTGGGATCCTGGTACCTGCGAAAAAACGTTTTACACCCGAGACAGGCAACGATTCCGTAGTGCTTTCCAGTCGACGGTTCGCCACATATTAGACACTGTCCTATGATGCCTGAAATTGAATTTTTATGGAGAGACAATAAAAATTTTGAAATTTCCAAGTTCTTAGCTTCAAAATGAGCTCAAGCACGACCGGATTCGGCTAATTCTAGATTTCGGGTCAGAGACGCAGTGTGTCTCGCTTCTCTCTAGCCGAAATGCCCAAAATCGACTGAGATAGGTCGTGTTTAGGCTCATTTTGAAGCTGAGTACGTGAAACACACAAAGATGTAAAAATTTGCCAAAAATATTGTAAACTAGCAATATTAGAGGAATTTCAAAAAGTTTTCAAAAAAAGTTAGTTCCGGAAAATTGACCATAACTTGAAAACTTGTGATTTGAAAAATTTCTAACAGTGTTTTTAGTTTTTTTAAAAACATTTTTAACTTCAAAATCAAAATGAGCCCAATCGCGACCCAATTTTGTTAACTTTGAGTTTTTATTTATTTAAAGGCGCATGGCTATTTTTGAAATTTTGGAAAATTCAATTTTCAAAAGTAGGCCTTATTTATAATCATTTTGAAGCTCTTGGCATTGCAAATAACATTTGAGAGCCCATTTTTCACAAAAACCAACCTTCAAAATTTTATAGTTTTTTTTAAAAATTTCAACACCAAAAAAGCATTTTGTGCGATCTTTAGTGTCAGTAGTAAAATGGCACTTTAAGCACATGGTTTCCATTTTTCACTGATAACGGAAAATGTTATTTTGTAGCGATTTTTTGTAGTTGGTGTGATCTTATTGGTAGGGATTGGCGGGAAATTCGAAAAACCTGGAAAATCCAACTTTTTGAACACTAAAAAAATTTTTTAAAATAAGGAAATCTCATTTAACTTGACTCAAATTCAATAAATTTGAATTTATCTTGTTAAGAGCTTCAAAATGAGTATGATCATGACCTTGTTTGGAGCATTTTCCGTTTTTTTTACAAAAACTTTTGGGTCCCACCACGAAAATGTTCCCAAAAAATTTCAAAAACAAAATAGGTCATGTTTATACTCATTTTAAAGCTCTCCTGAAGCCAAATTACAAAATCACATTTTTAGAATTCAAAACCTCACCTTTTTCCTGTTTCACACTGGTCGCCAATTGAGGTGCCATCGAGGCCAGACCGGGTACCACACTGATCACTGATGTGAATGTGGGCATTTTTTGAAGAAACGCCGTAGACATTTACTGGCGGGAGGCGCCGTTATTTCTGGAATTGGCGAAGAATTCAAAGTTTAAAGGGACATACAGTAAGCAAAAAAAATTAAGAGTTAAGGAAGATAAAGCAAAAGAAGCAACAAATTGTATTTGTCAACTTTAAACCAATTTATCTCATTTCCTGTGAAAGATATCAAAAAGCGGCCAACTGACAAAATGTTTATTATAATATCACAAACATATTATCAGTTGACAGATTTTTGATATCTCTTACAGGGTCCAAGATAATTGAGTTCAAAACCGCAAGCAGAGAGCGGCGTTTTACAGTGGTTGCAATCGAGGTTCCGACCGCGTCGCCAAATTATCTCGCTTCCAGTAAAAGATATCAAAAAGTCGCCAACTGATAAAATGTTTGTCATATTATTTTAAATATTTTACTAATTAAAAACTTTTTGATACCTCCTACAGTACCCGAGATAATTGAGCTCATATTTATAGTACCCAGAAAGAACGCATCAAACTATTTAGCACATGGCTTCTTTTGCACAATGATTAAATTTTTGTTTCCAAAAAATGCTTCCAACACAAATATACATACACAAAACTATTCTGATAGATAGCAATAGGCGAATGTTCAATTATCAGTTGTGGTGGTGGTCACGGGGGGAGAATCGAGGACGGAATGTGATAGGAAGAGAGGGTGAGAGACCCAGAGAAACACAGATCATCGTGACAATCTCTGATACACACTTTTACACTATATTCTCATGCCACAAACACGTTGTGTTGCGAAAAATGGACGGAGAACAAGTATAACGATAGTGTGTGTGTGTGATCATGGTTTTTTGAAGATGAATTTTTTGATGGGAAAGAATACTGGGGTATATCATAATGGAAAAAATTTGTCAAGTTCTTAGCTTCAGAATGAGCCTAAACACGACGCGATTCGTATAACTATGAATTTCGGGTCAGAGACGCAGTGTGTCTCGCTTCTCTGCGCGATCTAACCGAAATAATCGAAATCGGGTCCAAGATAGACCGTGTTAAGGCTCATTTTGAAGCTGAGAACGTAAAAAACACAAAAATGTAAAAATTCGGAAATTTTTCAATAATTTTTCAAAAAAAAAGTTGTTTTTCCAGAATGTCTACCATTCCTTTGTCTCATTTTTAGTTTTAAAATGAGTCTAAACAGGAGTCGATTTGATGAAGTTTTTTTTTAAATTTAAAGGCACATGGCTATTTTGTAATTTTTGAAAAATTCAATTTCACTGAAACATGACTTGTTTGGGCTTATTTTGAAGCTAAAACTTTGACTTTAACTATCTAGGTTCCTAGGCTAGATACAAAAAAAATAGTTAACATGTAAAATGTGTAAAATACAATTTCACACATTTTACTAGTCGACAATTTTTTTATATCTATCGCAATAACCGAGATAATTCAGTTGAAAGAAAAAGGGTACTACGGTACAAAGGAGAGAGCATGGTGAACGTCTAGCTAAACCTCAATTTCCTGGGTTCCTAAAACAGATACAAGACAATTGTCAACAAGTAAAATGTGCGAAATGGGATTTTGCACTTTTTTTAGTTGACAACTTTTTGATAACTATTACAGGAAATGAGATAAAGATTCGGAGTGAAGTGGTATTTCTGTAGCAGAGAAGAGCAAAGTTACCGCGCAGCTAAACCTCAATTATCTGAGTTCCCATTATCGTTACAAAAACTATCAACTAGTAAAGTGTGTAAAATCCAATTTCACACATTTTACTAGTGGACAATTTGTTGATATCTATTACAGAAGCTGAGATAAAGATGCGGAATGAAAAGGTACTACTGTAGCTAAGCCAGTAGCGATGAAACCTGATGAGTCTCAATAAGATTCTGAACCCATCACTCTTTAAAAATCCGAAAATCCATTGATAGGGAACCTCCTTATAAGTCCTGAAAATTCTGAACCCATAATTCCTGAAAGATCCGGGCAGTTATCGCCACTTTGACCATAATTATCTAGATTGGTAAAATAGATACAAGAAAACTGTCAACTAGTAAAATGTGTGAAATTTAGTTTTATAAATTTTCTTAGTTGATAGCTTTTTGATATCTATCACAACAGCCAAGATAATCATGTTCAAAAAAGTGGTACTACGGTAGCTAAGCCAATAGCAAGGAAACCATAGTTTTTCATTAAAATTCTGGACTCATGATCCGGAAAAAAGGAGAAAATCAACAAATTAACTAAAACTACACAAATAGAATAGATACACATTTTGTTCTTGAGAGGTGGGTGATAAAATGTGTTTTGGGTGAGAAGAGAGAAGGGGAAAAGGTGTCACGTGTCGAGCGAAATGGGAGGAGGAGGACAAGAATTGGTTGACACCACGAGGTAGATCTTTGGGGTCTCTCCAACTATTTTTTTTTGTTGTTTTTCGAAACGATAGGTTGGAGAGAGATTGGAGACATGTTTTTTGGAAAAAAATAACTAGAAAGGACAGGAAACGGGGAATCCTAGGGGCAGAAAGCTAGAAATCTAGAGAAGTACAGTCAGAAAATCTTGTCACCGAGTTGAAAACTTTGCCAGTTTACAATATTTTGGAAAATTTTTAAATTTCTGTATACTTAACGTTTTTAGCTTTAAAATGAGCCTAAACACGACATAGTTTGGTGACAATTGAATTTTTCAAAATCTCAAAATTGTCCATGGGCCTTTAAATTCAAAAACTCAAAGCTAACAAAACTGGGTCGTGTTTAGACTCATTTTGAAGCTAAAAATGTGAAAAAACAGAAAAATATAGTTGGAAATTTCTCCAATCCCAAGTTTTCGACTAATGGTCAAATTACTAAAAAAAAATAATTTTTTGAAAATGTTTTAACTTTGCCAGTTTACAATATTTTTGGCATTTCAATGAGTTTTTATGTTGTTTTTTGAATTTATCCCTTTGAGAGTTTCAAAATGAGTATAAACATGACCTACTTTCCTTGATTTTCAAATTTTGGACCCCAGGTGCCTTTAAAAGGTTAATTTTCAAATTCAAAGGAACATAGTCGTGTTTATACTCATTTTGAAACTCTTGAAGCGGTAAATTCAAACTTTAAAGTTTTATCAAAAAATATTGAAAAATGCACACGTTGTGATCAAATCAATATGCTGAAAAACAGGGCCCCTAACTTCTAACTTTGAGCTCGAATAACTCAGTTCGTTTGAGAGATATCAAAATTTTGTCGCCTGATAAAATATTTATCATATTACCAAAAGCGTTTTATCAGTTGACAAATTTTTGATATCTCATACAGGAACTGAGATAATTGAGCTCAAACTTGGGACTCTTCTATTACAGGCTTTACGGTATTCATAGGAATTGACTTCCTGGAAACTTCTAGACCATATTCAAAGAATTATGTTCTCTGTCATAGCCACCTATTGATTCCTATCTCCCACCCAATCCTAATTAAACGGAACAGACACTAGGCGGTCGGGATGTTATCTACAACTCAAATCTTATCCATCTCGTTTTGTTGGTCACAGAAATTTGGAATTGCAAGGGAAAAGGAGGGTACATACACTCTGACATCATCAGGTCAAAGATTGATTTTGAAAGGCGAAAAAAATGATATGAAAAGTTGGAAATTGAAAATTGGGGAATTTGAAAAATGTGAGTGTTCAGAGGATCTGGAACTTTTGAAGAATCCCTAATCAAGAAATCCAGAAAAATAAATAGAAATTTAGAAAAAAAAAACTGAAAATCGTGATTTTTCGAATTTCAGAATTTCAAAACTTTAGCAATTTCAAAACTTTACCGAATTTCATAATTCCAGGATTTCAAATTTTCCAAAATTCCAATTTCAGACATTTCTAGATTTTTGATTTTTTTCAAAATTTCAGAATTTCAAAACTTCTGAATTTCAAACTATTAGAATTTCAGAATTTCGAAGTTTTTAGAATTCCAGATTTTCAGAATTTCAAAATTTCAGAATTTCAGATAATTCGGATTTCAGCCATTTCTAGATTTTTAACAAATAATTTCAAATTTTCTGAATTTCAGAATTTTAGAATTTCTTATTTTCAAATTTTCAGAAATTCAGAAATTCAGAAATTCGGAAATTCAGGGACACAGAATTTCGAAATTTCAGGCTTTCAAATTTTCCGAATTTCAAAATTTCCGAATTTCAGAAAATACGGATTTCAGTCATTTCTAGATTTAAAAAAAATAATTCCAGAATTCCAGAGTTTCAGAGTTTCAAAATTTTAGAATTTCAGAATTTCAGAAAAAATTCAAAAAAAAGGCAATTATTATATGAGAAGCGACAAAAAAAAATTAGCATTTTCTTTGCCAATTTTTATAGACACTCAAATTTGAATTTAAAAAAAAATTTTTTTAACCAAAATGCATTAGCAGCAAAATAAATAAAAAAATTTGTGAACCAATCTCTGATGTATGTGAAAGAGTTGCAATCGTTTCTTCAGGCGTCATAGGATGAGGAAGAGAGAGTAGCAACACAAAAAAAGACCGAAAAAAAGAGAAGAGAGAAAAAGAGATGTTAGAGGACAGCACACGCGCTTCCTCTCGCATAGTCTGCGTCTCTTCAATGACTAATACTATCTCGTTGAAGCGAGAGAGTGCACTATTTGATGTGAATCAGGTGGAGACGCGGAGAAAAGAGAGGTGAACAAAACATACACTACTATCACGTGGCGGGTTAGTAAGAATTTTCGCTGGTTGGGAGAAAACTGATAGGGCTGACTAGAGAAAAAATGTTGTTTTTGCAAAAAATATGTAATCCTTTTATATTAATTTCCTCAGTATTCATTTCCGGGGCTTCCTGTATTTATCTAAAAGCTTGTTATTTCGGTTCTGTGTTTTTTACTAGATAGTTTTTTTTTATTTTTCTAGGGATTTTGAATAATGCTCATTATCCTGAATATGGCATTTTCCAAAGCCTTTTTTGAACTTTTTAAAAGTTCGATTTTTTTTAAGTTTGAGCCAATTTATCTCGGTTCCTGTGAAA